ATCCTGAGAACATGTGCCCGATCCAGTGTTTTAATAGCACAGACACGCTAAAAGGGACCATCAGTACAAGGCTGATGAAATAACTTATCGCATAGTCGTACAGTGGAATACTATACAGTTCTTTATTTTTTATTTTTGAATACTATACAGTTCTATAAAAGGAGGAAGAGGCTCTACGTACTCATCTGGAAAAATCTTCACTGATCATGTACGCTGTGCGGAACAGTATGTATGTCACTCTGTCTCAAAAAAAAAAAAAAAAAAAAAAGGTTATGGCATGGGCCTAGGGCGAACCATGACGATGGAGAGGGGCAGAAGAGGACGCATTGGATGAGGTACGGGAGCAGGATCTGCAGGGTATAGAGAGCTAGAGGAAAGTGTCAAAAATAACTTTTACGGTTTCCACCATAGGAGATGGAAGACGAACAGCACAGGACTGGAAGGAAAGAAAATGAAGACTGAAACTCGTGGAAGTAGAGATTTGGAAAAAGAGCAGTTGGGAGAGGGTTAAGGAATTTCCTTAAGCGGAAGGCGAGGTCCGGCGGGAACAGTTGAGGCAGGGCCTGAGATGGGTGCCCAGTGAGTGCAAGTTTGAATGGATAGGGGCATCTGAGATTAAGAGGAGAGGGGGAAGTTTGCTCCAGGACTGGTGAAGTGCCTCGAAGGAGGCGGGAGATCGCTAAGGAATACTCTTGGCGATGGGGGCAGAATCACAGGCACTAATAGTGGGCATCAGGATAAGACTGGCAGGACTACCATGCCAGCCAGGCTTCCCTCCGGAGGCTTGGAAGTGGGGGACACTGAGCGGGGGGATGCCGGGACCGCCTGCCCCCCCCCCGGTGCGGAACCAATTGTGACGGCGGCGAGGTTACCCGCCGGCGCTACAAAGGTGCCACACCGCAGGGGCGGCGTGGGGCGGCGTGCGCCTGCGTGACGCGGCTACGCGGGATGGGCCGGGCCAAGACCCAGGCCGAGGCGGCGGCGGCTGTGAGAGTCGGCAGTTCGGCCACTGTCCCTCAGCCCAGCCACCATGAGCACCAAGCAGGTCACTTGCAGGTCAGTGCGCGGGGGCCAGGAGCGGCGGGACACTTCGGGCCGCTCCCCCGGGCCGCTCCCCCAGGCCGCAGGGTTCCGCTGCACGCCAATCCTGCCGCCCGGGAACCTGAGGCTGGAGCGGGACTCGGAAAGTTGCTCAGCTCTCGCAGTGGGGCTTTGCGAGGCAAAGTGAGCGCTGCGGCCAGAGCCGGGGACCCGGGGCGGTGCGTGGCCGTGGCTCGTGGCCCAGACGCGGGGCGAGGCCAGCGCGGGGGGCTACGCCGCGAGTTTAAAGCGTGGCCCCTGTGGGCTGGGAGGAAGGACGTCCTAGCCAGGGCCGTGCCGGATGCGGGGACGCTGTGGGGAGGACTCGGGGGCTTACGGTTTCACTGGAAGAGATATGGAGTTGAGTAAAAGGACACCAAGAGGCCGGTTACAAATGGGGATACCACTTAGGAGTAATTTGTTGATCGATTATAAGGGCCTCAAAGTTTGAATAATCCAGATACAATCTAAACTTGCAGAGAGTTAGCAAGTAAGAATTGTTGTGTGGAAAATAATGACAGGTAGCATTTCCTGAATATCGGTTAAACGCCCTGCATATTTCCAAGTCCTTTATGTTCATTATCACCAGACTTCATAGTAAGACAACTTAGTAGTTATTATTACCATTTTACAGTGCAGGAAACAGACTGAAAGAGGTTGACACTCATCTTACTGAGAGAGCCATTTACGAGGGGAAATGCCACGGTAATGGATGGTTTCTTGTAGAAAATAGAAAACCAGATAGCTACGCTGCGACTGCTACTGTGAAATAGAATAAATAGTGTGGTTGTGTAACACCCTCATTCCTTGTTGAACTTGTGGCTTACTGGTAATGGAATCTAGTCCTATTGAATTGTATGCTTGGAAAATGCCAATTTCATTTAGTAACTTGTGTGGGAAACGTTGCTAAAAAACAATTGTAGAGTTTGATTGTGTAGCAAGCTGTTTATTAGCTATGTTGTTACTTCTCTTCATTAGTATAAACAGTTGAGACGTGACTGTGTAATAAGTTTTCTATTAGCATTAGTGTACGTTAAACTGTTCAATTTATCCAAGGCCCAAGTGGTTTATGTTAAGCTGTTGTCAGAAATTTGCACCAGTGTCTATAAAAAGACTTTTACTAGGTTATTTGCCCTAGAAGATGTTTTGTGAAGATGGGTTTGTATTTACGTATTTTTATTTGTATAAAGTTTCTCCTGCTAGAGGAATTGTTTCTAGGTCATTGTGCACCGTAAAGCAGCTTGGACACCTAGAAAAACCTCTCTATTCCTCCCCTCGCTTGTTTTATGGTTTAATTCTACCATTTATTCCCATACTTGATCTAAGACGTGATTATACATTACAGTATCTGACTAAGAGCCCCCTAGCACATTGTAAGTCCCCAGCAGACATTAATTAGCACTTAAACAGAAGTGATCCCTTCTCAACATTCCAACCCGATCAAATGGAGCAACATCCTGTGGGACACCTCTGTTTGGGAAACAGAATTAAAGCTTTCAGGTCAAGCTCTCTCCAGGTATACAAGGGAAAAACCAAGATCATCCTGATTTAGGCTCTTGTGCCTCTTAGAGTATGAAATTATAGGCAAATTTCAAGTCTTCCTGAGCATAAGATTCTTTATCTCTAAATAAGATACTACTGTAATGTATAATCCAGCAACCAGCACTATTTCACAGAAAGTAAAACTGAGCCTCAGCATTGAATTTGCCTAAGGTCTTTAGCTTCCAAGTGGCCAGAGGTGTCAAAATTCGTGCTCTCTTAGACTGTATTGCCTCCAGATAACTTTTGAAATGCTAAATTAACGTTTCTTTACTGCAGGACTTCTCAAAACTTTTAATATGTTCCCATGGGGGAAACTCATACAAGAATATGTAAAAGTGCAAAGAAGCTTACTCACAAAGGAATGTAAAGGAGTCAGGGCTTTCAATGACTGCCTTGCCAAATAAAAAACAGAACAGGTGTTTAAGTGGGAGAAAACCAGTATTACCAAGATTACCAAGTTTACTTCAGTGTGTTTATCTACTGTAAACTTTTCTACCAGCTTATCTACCAAAAGCTTTTCTCAGTTTATTATCTCATTAACAAAAGCCTTATCTCTAGACATTGATAATTAATGGAAAATGTTCAAGGTATGATTTATTTTGGGGACCAAATCTAAGCAGGGTGCTCAGCTTTTTTTTTTTTTTTTTTTTTTTTTTTTTTTTTTTTTTTTTTTTT